TTATATAGATGTTTTTTCTGTATAAAAGACACCTGGGAGCCAGAAATCTTGCTGATTGATAGGGGATCAAATACTTATTTCGCTCATTGACATGCAAATCAGTTTATAACTTTTTTTAAATGCTTTTTTTTCTGAATTTCTCTGTTATTTTGTCTCTCACTGTTAAAATACACCTGCCATTAAAATTAGAAACTAATCATTTCTTTGTCAGTGGGCAAATGTTCAAAATCAGCAGGGGATCAAATACTTTTTCTCTCACTGTGTGGGTGTGTGTGTGTGTGTGTGTATATATATATATATATATATGTATGTGTGTATATGTGTATGAGTATACATTGTATCAACTTACTGTGCAGTGGTTATTGAATGCCAAATGTTTGTAAATATATATCTTACAGCACAGTCTGAGATGGCAAGGTTTTATTCCTCCTTTTATGACCATTTTATTTACAATATGCATCCCCTAAGAATTTGGGGTGGGGTACGGTGCACCAAATACTTTTGATTTTTTTTTTTCATATTGATATACAATATTAATGAATTCATTAAATAAAATGTATTTTAAACTATTCCGTTTTCCTCTCTAGTCTTTTCATGGTATTTTTATTTATTTAATTAGTTTGTTTGTTTTGTTTTTTTCTTTGTACATAGATCATCACTTATGAGTGAGTATTGGCACCAGTGTTGATATAGTCTTCAAAAAAATACACTGATCCTCAAATAAAGTATAAACGTTAATTTTTGCAATTTAGGACTACAAATTATTTCTATGTTAATGCAGAGAGCCACAATTCCCATGGGAGCCCCTGTGGCAACAGCCTATGTAAACATGGTCTTGTATGCATTTGATCTAATAATTTCTTTATAAATATATAAATTGCTAAATTCTCTTAAACACAAGAACTAGACCACTTAAACTGCACTGAATACAGTGCTGGGTACAGTTCACAACCAGAATTAACAAATGTTTTCTTACAAATAGTTAGCATGGACCAAACCATTACGGTTAACTCTCAGGCATGTCATTAATTACAACAAAAACAATAAACAACAATAAAATTAACAGTTTCCCCCCATCCAAAACATGAAGGAAAAGTTAAACCACTGCAGGCACCCCCTCAATATTTGAAAACATCAGCATGCCTCATAGAGAAGTAATTGGTTGAAAATATACATGTGCAGACAAACATCAAGTATCTCACGGCATCAAGAAGACAATCACATGAGGTGGATTTAACTTCTCAATGTAAACCATTCAATTTCTACAAAACTGAAATATTTTACATTGTAGGGTTAAAATTACAGAATCGATGCACCAAGACCACTTCATTGAGATTAAGTGATCTGAATTATTATAATTTAATACTGGCTGCATTGTTGCTCAAGTTGTGAAATTTGTAGTCATTTGGTGTCCACCACATTCAATCGCCATCAAATTGGGAGAAAATGTAAAATTTGAAATAAATAAATAATAACTTGCATGACAGAGTTTGTTGCTTTGCTTGTATTACGTGATTACACTACAAAGGAATGAATGGTGAATCTCGCATTAAAAATACATACAAATTATATTTTCATGCAAATACTTCTTCACAAGTTATTATGTCCCGTTCAGTTTTAACAATTTTTATTTCAGGCTCTTTACTTTATGCCCCATTAAGTTGTTTGTTTGTCTGTTTGTTTTACGTTTAAGCCACATAAATAAGTAATTTAAAGGGACACTCCTGGTATAAGATTTTCTACTAACAAAATTGGAAACAATTTGTCACAGGAAAGAAAATACCTTCTGGAGATTTGCCCAGTATCAGGGCACCATTGGGATTATTGAAATCCTAAGCATACTTAGTCTATGATTAAGCACGGAGCACTGAGTTCTGTGCCAAACTAGCAGTGTTACATTTTTCAGTGTCCCCGCCCTGTACTCCATCTGCCAAGGTTCATCACAAGAGGATAATTTAATAAAGACCTTTTACTTTTAAGAATTGAGCTGTCACACACTGACATCTGTATCAGAAGTCTTGAGTCAAGCAATTTTTCCACACAGGCTAACTTTACAAGCATGCAAGCTGCAGAGAATTTAGAATTTTAATGTTTTGTGTACTGTTATGTGAAACGGTAGGTTTTTCTTCCTGCAACATGTATTTGTCCTGTCTTGTTGACAATATTTACATAGTAAAGATAAAAAAGAATTGTGAACACACCCAGAACATCCATTTGACAGAAATAGTTTTGCAGAGGAGATTAAAAATGTATATATAATACAGATTAAGGAACAGTGCACACAGAAAAAAACAGCTTTAAAATGTATAAGGCTACTTAAAATCTCCTACCTGCGCAAACAAACATGGGGATTAAGTTCCACCATATGGCTATATTGTGTTAAGTCCACTACTATGCATTTCTCAATATTTACATACTGCGACTGGCATTTCTTCATGTAAAATAAGAGCATGACTGAAGTTAAATTTCAGACTCCTGTTGCTAGCTTGTTAAATGAACCCTGCCTTGTTTCACCATTGATACACTTTAAAATTTTAATCCAAAGATATCTAGGTTGTACTCAACAGCATATATGCAGATTTTAATGACTTGGGGTTGGTGTCAAATTGTGCCAGGCACAGAGCCGATCCTGGGCAGGAGCACCGCGCCAAAGCGCCAGGGAGCTGTGGTAAAAGGGAGGTACCAGAATCACTGGCAGGAGGGATGACGTGGGACCCAATTACTATAGCACCTTACCCTAATTACAGCACCTAACCCCCCACTGCAGACCCTAACACCATACTAAAGTCTCTAATGAAGAGATGGAGTCATTGAGCTACAAACATGTATGTTTAGACTATATATTTGTAAAGGAGATGAATTGTTAAAAATGGCCACACCCACTTGGAGTGATTAAAAAAAAAAATCTGTACCAAGGCATCTGTGACTCTAGAATCGGCCTTGGGCAGACACCATATCAATGCTACAAACTCTGACATGAGTTACCAATGTTTCTGTGAATGTGTGTCTTTAGTGTTACTGTGTGGTGTAAAGATCTGTTTATCAGCCCTTCAATGGGGTGGACTGTTTCAAAATGCATATGCATGAGTACTGTTGGACTTAGTACATTCTCTTGCACTTTTCCACTGCAGTTCTGGAAACTTGTTTGCTTTCAATCAAGCTCTAATTTTTCTTGGTGGTCATGTGTGCTCCTGTTCCTGTCATTGTTCTGTGTTCATGTTCACCAGTTATCTTTAATAAGTCCCATATGGACACTAATGATCCAAGGACTCAACTTGTGCCCGAATATGACTAATAAGGTGAAGAGCTAACTAGTGTTCTCCTCTGCTGCATTGATGGTAGAACTGGGCATTTGGTTTAATCAAAATTGCAATTTGTTGGAATTAAGAGCAATCGTTCAGTTGTCTGAGTTACATAAATCCAAATTGCTATGTGTTTTGAATTAAAAAACAAACAAAATGTGCCATAAACAAGCTGTTTCATGATTCAGAGACCCATGGTACCAGAAAAAGGTGGACGGAATGGAGCAGTTAACCTATTTTTGAGGTGGGATGTGGGGGGGGAAATAAGCAGTTTAGTGGAAACAATGAGGATTTATGGTTCGATGACAGCCACTAAATGTTAATTTGATAAAAAACATTTAAATACATAAAGGGAATCAACACAATAAAGGAGGAGACTATATTTAAAAGAAGAAAAACTACCACAACAAGAGGACATAGTCTTAAATTAGAGGGGCAAAGGTTTAAAAATAATATCAGGAAGTATAACTTTTCTGAGAGGGTAGTGGATGCATGGAATAGCCTTCCAGCTGAAGTGGTAAAGGTTAACACAGTAAAGGAGTTTAAGCATGCGTGGGATAGGCATAAGGCTATCCTAACTATAAGATAAGACTAGGGACTAATGAAAGCATTTATAAAATTGGGCAGACTAGATGGGCCGAATGGTTCTTCTCTGCCGTCACATTCAATGTTTCTATGTTTCTAATTTATTTGCAAATCAAGTGAAAAGTGACCAATAGAGTAAAAAAAGGAGGAGCAGTAAAAAGTCTCAATATTTAAAAGCAAAATTCTCTCAGCACTTTAACTTCAGCTATTGAGGGAGATAGACCAGCACACAGTGACTGACGTATATTACCATTGCTGTACGTGTGGTGTGGGACATAGCCTGTGTTATTGACCCTAGTGTGAGACTGACGAGGTGTTTGGATAAGTTACTGCTGTGCATTGGGAGATAGTCTGGGTTGTTAAACTTAGTGTGAGACTGGCTAGGTTACTGCTGTGCCAAGCTACTAACATTGATTCACTGAACCATAGTTGAGGAAGAGTCTACTAGTTAGGTGTGAAATGCGTACCTTTTTTTTCACCTGTTTGCCCCTATTTGTTGCAGTTTGATCGTACAAGGTATTACAGCTAAATATCTCCCTTTGCATCTATTATGTGGATGCAGCACTGCACTACATGCCTATTCCAAACTACTGACACATCTGTTTTTTTTTTTCTTTCTCTATGAAAATATCTAGAAGACTAGGCATTTGCTGATAACTCAAGACGATGTCCAGTAAGAAGAATTAGCTTGAGGATTTTCCTCAGTAGAAGCACTTACTGTACGCATTTTTTACATTTCCTGTAAGAAAGTTAGGATATAGAAACATTAACCAGTTTTACTTTACTTTAAAATCAAGGTAATCCCAAAGCAGGAACTGTGTATTTTCTAATCGAGACAACCCCTACAACCTTTATACCTTCTGTGACATTGGTTCTAACGTCTATCAAACAGCATTCCATGCTGTCCACAAAGATATGTGCCTCCATATGGTTATTCAAAGAACTGGGGATTTCAGATTGATCAGTGCAATGTATAATGACCTGGTGTTTCTATGTAAAAAAAAATTAAACACAAAATCCCTGGTTAATGGAGCAAGTTTTTATTCCTTTGCAGGTACTGAGTATACAATTATCTGTATATATGTTACAGTTAAGGTGCAGAAATCAGTTAATGTGCACATTACCTAGTTAATCTGCATATTACCTACTAGGTACTCGTTAAAGTGCACAACAATCATTCTGTCCTCCATCTCTCTGAGGGGCTCACAGCTCTGGATTATACCATGGTGTGCACAGGCTGCTGTTCTGTTCTTGTCTGGAGTCAAGAACATAGTCACATACCTCTTCAAACAGTTATCTTGAACTGGTAAGAAACAAGGAGCCCCCACCACCACAAGAGAGCGAGTGCTTCCTGCACATTATACAGCAACACCCTGAAATGATCCCAGCAGATGCTCTCCACTGTTCTCAATATCATCATATATTTGAAGACTGTCGGAATCAGTGGTCCATGAGCAGACCTCTCCTTGGTCTCATTCTCCTCAATGAGAGAAGTACTTCTCGAACTCAGGGAGCAGCATTGTTAGTAGCCAGCCCACCTATGAGAAACAACAAGCCATGCGCCTATGCTTTGAGAATTTGATGGTGGAGGGCATTGATAGGAACCTGCTCACAAAAAGAATCGAGACAGGGTTCACACAGAATCCTTCACACAAAATGCCTTCAGACGAGAAGTGAACGACTCTGCAGAGACTGCACTGAAAGGGTTCTGCAAGGACGTTTTTGTAATAAATCATTTCCCCTTTTACTGAGGGAAAGAAACAAACATTTTGCACTGAAAGGGGCGAAACAGGTTCTGCAACAACTTTGTTTTTTTTTAATAAATAATTTACTCTTTTACCGAGGGAAAGAAACAAACATTTTGCACTTTAGACTGAAGAAGTTAATGTGCACATTACCTGGGTAAAGTGCGGAAAACTCTTGATTCTGCACTTTAACTGAGCAAATCCATTAATCTGCAGATTAACTAGGTAATGTGCACATTAACTCATTTCTCACTTTAACTGTAACATATATATAAAGCACTAAATCACATAAATATACTTCTACAACACTGTTTTATATGTCTAACTATAGATATTGCCATCTGAAAATATTTGTATCAATATGACAGATCAAGATGTCTTTTTTTAGATTTTAGTATGATTAGAATATAATAATAAAAATCATGGATATACCTTAACTCAAACCTGTAAAATAGGAATGGGATTAATAGTTCCTTACATATTACACTGAACAAAATTATACATGCAACACACTTGTTTTTGCCCCCAGTTTTCATGAGCTGAACTCGAAGACTTTTTCTATGTGCACAAAAGGCCTATTTCTCTCAAATATTGTTTACAAATCTGTCTAAATCTGTGTTAGTGAGCATCTCAAACCTGCTCAATGGGTGACAAGTACTGTGAATATGCTGGCCATGCAAGAACTGGCATGTTTTCAGCTTCCATGAATTGTGTACAGATCCTTGCAACATGGGGCTAGGCATTATCATGCTGCAACATGAGGTTATGGTCATGCATAAATGGCACAACAATGAGCCTAAGGATCTTGTCACAGTATCTCTGTGCATTCAAAATGCCATCAATAAAATGCACCTGTGTTCGTTGTCCATAACATACGCCTGCCATACCACAACCCCACCGTCACCACTGGGGCCCACTCGATCCACAATGTTGACATCAGAAAACCGCTCACCCACATGATACCATACACACTGTCTGCCATCTGCCCTGTACAGTGAAAGCCTGTGAAATGCCAGACTCCATAGAATGCAAGCATTTGCCCACTCAAGTCTGTTACGATGCCTAACTGTAGTCAGGTCGAGACCCTGATGGGGACGACGAGCATGCAGATGAGCTTCCCTGAGACTGTTTCTGACAGTTTATGCATAAATTCTTTGGTTATGCAAACCGATTGTTGCAGCAGCTGTCTGGGTGGCTGGTGTCAGACAATCTTGGAGGTGAAGATGCTAGATGTGGAGGTTCTGGGCTGGTGTGGGTACATGTGGTCTGCGGTTGTGAGGCCGGTTGGATGTACTGCCAAATTCTCTGAAACGCCTTTGGAGACGGCTTATGGTAGAGAAATGAATATTCAATTCATGGGCAACAGCTCTGGTGGATATTCCTGCAGTCAGCATGCCAATTGCACGCTCCCTCAAAACTTGCAACATCTGTGGCATTGTGCTGTGTGATAAAACTGCACGTTTTAGAGTAGCCTTTTATTGTAGCCCGCCTTAGGCACACCTGTGCAAAACTCATGCTGTCTAATCAGCATCTTGATATGCCATACCTGTGAGGTGGATGGATTATCTCGGCACAGGAGAAGTGCTCACTAACACAGATTTAGGCAGGTTTGTGAACAATATTTGAGAGAAATAGGCTTTTTGTGTACATAGAAAAAGTCTTAGATCTTTGAGTTGAGCTCATGAAAAATGGGGGCAAAAACAAAAGTGTTGAGTTTATAATTTTGCTCAGTGTATGTGATGTAGACTCACAGTATCCTAACCTAAAGTATGATAAGAGTTGCAGTTCTATAACATCTGAATGGTTAAGGGATGTCTAATTCATATCTCTTTGATCTTTCGTAAGAGCTGCACTGTACTCATGCCGATATAATTAATCATAACACATAATCATTTTCCTTGACTTCTACGGCCAATGGATGCAGAAGTAATCATCTCCAAATAGCACCTACACATCATTAGATCATTTCTTAGCCCAGTGAAATGTCACATTTGCCTGAACTAATGTGGAAACCCTAGCTGATCGATTGGATTCTGCTCAATAAAGTATTTTGAAAGATATGCAAGGAGCTGCATGAAAACTTGTGACAACGATGATTAACATGGCAAGGTTTGTATTGCAGTAACAGAAAGGTTATTCATACCATCATGCTTCCTACAACATAAGCAAAGAAAAATCCATTAGCTCTCATTTATGGTACTAAAAATATGCAGCATACCTTTGCAGTGATGCAATCATTAATAGACATAAAGGGAATCAATCATTAACAAATTGCTTTTTTCTTTCTCTGTTTGTTTCGTATTACCATTTGTATTTTTATTCTAATTTAAATTTTTATCATATAAAAATTAGATTTAACAAAGTGCACAAAGGTGACATTTTCTGTTGAGAGGATTGCTTGAACCACATTTTTTTTTTTTTTTTTGATAGCATCAGAAAATAATCTCTTAGCAGAAGTGATAAAGACTAATATAGTGCAAGAAGATTTGGACTACACCTCAGGAATGAAGTAAATACTTTTGATCAGGGGTGCCCAAAAGGTAGATCCTCAGATGTTTTAAAACTACAACTTCCATGTTGCCTTGTCATTCTAAAGGCATACAAAGCATCATGGTAGTTGTAGTTCTACAATATTTGGGGATCTACCTTTTGGGCACCCCTGCTTTAGATAGAACATTGAAAGAGTGAATGAGCCAGTTGCTTTTTATTTGCCATTAAAATCTGTCAGGGTTATTTACAACAATATGGTATTGCAGGGAATTGACAAAAGAATTACAGGTTTATGGGCAACTCTGTCTTTGAGTAATTCACCCAAATCCACAGCTATCTTGCCACTTCTCATTCACGAATATACCTGATGTAATGTTATCAATATTTCAACCACCAAGCCTAGCCTTCCCCAGGCTAGGTTTAAAACCTAGATATTTATACCATGGGTTTATTATGGTAGTGCTTCATAAGCACATATTTTCTCAATCACACTCAGTCTCTCTGTATCCCTAAAGACATTGCTAGGAAACATATGAGTGAGATTTATCAAGGCATAACTGGTATCATTTTAGGTGCAAGGTGTTAAATGTGGAGAGCCATTCTACTGGTTTCCATAGTGATTGGTAATTATTTAGCAATTTGCCCCTCAACTCATCTGTTCTTGCCTGGATAAATCTCTCTCCATTGTCTCTGTCTCACTGTGTACTCACGGTGTACTATTTTACACATGCGTGCTATTCTGCAAATGTGCTTATTTATACAAAATTGTATGTAATCGCATATTTATTACTAGATCTGCTTTAGCTCTACTTATTTGTAAAATATTTTTTGACTATACTGTTTTATTTGATAGATATATTGTATAATAAGAAAAGTGCCGGGGACCGGAGGATGTTTGCATCCTTAAATGAATGGATTTTTAACTTTTTTGCAGTGTGTTTCAACCTTTGGGTCAATAAAATATACAGTGAATTTTCTTCTACAAAGCAATTTCATTGTATCAGTTTAGAGAGAGTGTGTTCTATATTATCGTTTCCATCATATGTCTCAGTACTGCCATTAAAGAGTAATCATTTTGTCAAAGTTATTGCAGGGCCCATAATTTACATGAAAGTAATGTTTCTGTTCAAGCCCTAACAAAAACCTAGTTCAGAAATAAGTACCATTTAAATTGTAAAAACTAAAGAGCATGAAATGGTATGTGACTTAGAGGTTTCCAAAAAAGCATGTAGTTTTGGATTAGCTGTAAAATATAGTGGATATATTAGAGCTAATCCAACAATCCAAAGCATTGTTGGAAAACATTGCAAGTGGTAATTTTTTTAAATATCAAGAATGATGGTTGGTAAATGAAATCCAAATGATAGGCTGCATGTAAAGACAAGAACCTTTATTTGTATTTGATTTAACTAGGTTTCATTAATTCAAGTACATTTAGCAGTTAGTGAGTGTTTTTGTCTAAGTAAACAGAGGGAGCTTTTTTACTAAATTGACAAAATCTCTAAGCTGAAAACACAAGAATTTAAGAATTCTTAGATATAAAAAAAATATGAAATTAAAAAGAACATGTTCTACAAGCCAGGATATGCGTTACTTAGAATGATTTTGATGGGGGTTGCTGTACTGCTCCATTTCATCCTTGCTCAACTTTAACTTTTTCCAACTCAAATTTCAGCTCAAACATAGACCGCCCCCCTTTTAATTTGTTATTATTCTCAAAATTTGGTAAATAGAGACATTTTATGTTGGAAAACAGAATTTCTTAGACATTTATAATATTTTCCATTTTTCACGTTGTGAAACAGAATCCTTTGGACATTTATATATTATATTATGTTCTGTATAAATATTTCCATGGCCAATGTTATTTTTTTCTTTTGTTTATGAATTCTATTTTCTTCTTCCTAACGCTATCATTTATTTTTTTCCCCAATTGATATCTTTTAACAATACCCATTATCTACACATACCCATTTCTGCTGTTGGCACATATTTGTATTCGGGATATTTGGCAAGCTCTTAGTACTATTCACTCAATCTAGTTGGAGATATATTTCTTACTTAATTTTTCTTACCTATTTATTTTACCTCAAATGTAGCACATTGGTTGGTAAAGGGTTACTATAACCTTTGGAGAGGGATGAACGGTTCTGGCGTAATGTGCTCTATTGGGCACTGTGAAGATGTTTTTTGCAAAAAAAGGTTTTATTCACCTTGAATCACCGTGATCTTCCACTCCCCCGCTCCAATGTCACCGGTGTCACACTGTATCCAATCACAGGCTTCTTATAGTGCATGCACACACTCTGGACCAGCAAGGGAAGGGGAGGGAGGTGGAGGAAGGAGGGTTTAAAAGAAAATAATAAATAAAATAAATAAACCAATGATGCATGGAGGGAGGCAGTATGGAGTTCCCACAGGGAGGGAGGGTGGGAGGGGCGGGCACTCTGACAACAGACATTAAATATGCACAGAATTGACATTAGGCAACCTGGAACTAATTTATGTGTGCTGGGGGTACAA